ACAAGATATTGTCATACAGACGACGACCGTCGTTTATCTGACAAATGAACGTATCAGCGTATATCAAATGTAGCGTTTCAAAAAGCAATTGCAGTCTGTATAGTGTACCTATATCAAACACATTACGAAAAATATAGAGTTTGTGTTGAGATTGAAAATCTGACATTGGAAGCTCAACAGTGACTGAGATTTGATCGGATCTGGGCATCCCGCGCGCGATGGATCGCCGACGTGCAGTGCAGCTTCTGGTTCTGCTGGCCGGGGCCAGCCTCCTCACTTCAGCACTGGCGGCCGACAGCTATGTTATTGGTGATCAAGGTGAGCCGTTTTGCTTTCGCGTTCATGGAGACTTTATCGGAAGACAAGTCGAAAGATCAGTGTTTTGGAGGTGGGCACGCGCCTGGACGGCCGCCCCTCGGGGATCGGGCGATCTGATGGATAAGGACGTGCTTCCACGGCAAAGTACCTTTTGGCAAGGAATCTGGCGACACTTGACAAACGCAACTCGACTTTTGCTCACTACTCCTACCGCAGGTCAGGATTGTGCCACCACTTGTGGCCGTCGCGGGCAGTTTTGCAACCCGGACGTAAACACAAACAACTCCGATTCCATTTTCAAGGTTCGCTGGACTGCGCCTGCGACCTTCATCTCTGGTCAAAGCCCGTAAAAGACTTTCGTCTCCATTCTTCTTTCCTTGTCACGACCACGACTTTTCTCACTGTTTGGTGAATTGCGATTGGTCTGCTGCCCGGACCACGGACCAGTAGCAGTTGGGCATTAATTGCAACAGTGACTCGACACCATGGTGGGCACCAGACCAGCCCTCCTACTGCTCGGATCCCTCGGATGAAAACTACGGCCGCTGCGTGGGATACGTCAATCCTCCCGTCAATGGGTCTTGCCAGGCTCGCTATTGGAGCGTTCGACGCTTGTGTCGCTGTACCGGCGATGCCACGACACTGCCTTTCTTCGGCACAGGCTACTCTTCGGGCAGCCTCACAGTGAACGAGACAAACCACTTCGAGCACGTCGTGGCCGATGGCCACTTTGGCGTCATGACACATTTCTGGGTTACGGGTAAGAGCTGCCTTGCGCTCCAAGTCCCAACTCTGATCAGAACTAGAGGTCCCTGATGTCTTCCTTCCTGTCGACCTTGAGTCCAGGCACTGCGGAGCTAATGGATAACACCATCATCCGCTACTACATTGACAATGAGACCAAGCCTTCCATCGAGTTCAGACCCTCAATGGCCGTGGGCGTTGGTTTTAACGACTCCAAGGCCCCTTGGGGTACCAAGTGGTCAGTCTCAATCTGCCAGTTGCGTCATGTTCATGCTGTGTATTTTGGCTCTGATCGGGGTGAGCACCGCTTCGCTTAGGATTGGCATGGGGGCGGGCAACGGCCAAGGCAAAAACTTTAACGTCAACTTTAAGATTCCTTTCCAGGTTGGATCTCCTGAGATACGTCTGCACATTTCCCAATCCCTGCGGCTACCTCACCATACTCACAACTCAAGGCGCATGTGTGTGCAATGCCTGCTTGGCTTCAAACACTGCCGTAGAAGTCGATTCGCGTGACTGCGCAATCCAGTCTGAACGACAGCAACGGATTTTACATGATTGTCCGGGGCGTTTTGGATCAAGAAGTTTGTCCCAGCCTGCGCTAACTACACCTCTTGTTTCTGAAGTCTTTCCCTATTCATGATGTCGGACGATCTGGTCTGGTACTCGCCTGATGGGTGCTGCAGATTACCTTTGGGGGTGTGACCATTCCCAAGACAGCACGCCTTCAATTGCAGCGCCAAGAAAACCTGGTGCTACAGCCCATGGACTTTTTGAATGTGGTCAACGTGCCCTCTGGGGCGGGTCTGATGCTCATGAGCACACTTCAGGTCCAAAGGTAAGTCGTACTTGTGGGAACGAGCCGTCACGCATTGCCGTCTTACCATTCTAAATTTGGTCTACCAAATGCTCCCATTGCCTTCCCAATTCGGCTCCAACCCCAAGTGGCAATCTGAACTTTTTGGAAGGATGCTACCATGCGTACACTCCCGTGGATATGCCATGGCCGGGCATCGTCCTTTCCACGGGCACAGAAGACTACTTTGATTCTGGTATGTTACTTGCCTCCGGCATGAGTATCTAGCTGCCGGCACGCGGGCTGGTCGATATGGCTAACTCTACCTTTTTGTTGCTTCCCTCATTGATCTCAGCTTGGTACTTCAATGCCGGCGAGTTCCGCCTGCCCGTAGCTGGCTTCACGCATTTGAACGTGAAGAACAGCAGCATTGAATGGAGTGCGTATCGCTTCCATGAGATGGACCCTCTGCCTTTCAACAACGGCTTCCGCCTTCAATGGCGTAACGGCGATATGAACGACCCTCACTCGGGCCTCAAGTGCTACACGCTGGCCAACGGAAACATTGTCGGCTCACCAACCCCCTCCATCGTGACCAGCTACGGCTGGGTGTACACCTGGTAAAGTTCAAGCCTATCGCCATACCTGCTGCCAACTCTTCACTCGTCGCCGAATCGACGCTGCGCACGCACTGGAAATTGTTTCGTGGTTGCGTGGAGATCAGCATGTGAATTTGATCGTGCAGCAAAACCTGACACGTTCCACAAAATAAATAAACAAAGCACAGAAAGAGTCAAAGCACGTGTCATCCCCCACCCCATAGTGCAGGCCTCAGCAAGCGTCACAGCGCTGCAGGCCGTTCTCATTACACACGGTGCACTTCAAGTGCGACGAGGGTCCTAACCAATAGTTCAAAGGTGAGCGTGCAGCGCGGAAAGAGTGTCAGCCCGAAGCGAGCAGCGACAGAAACAAAAACAATAGAAACAGCCCACAAAGAACCGACCGTTGGTGAAATGATTGGAAATGCTCTTTTTGCTGCCAAAGCACCAACGGCAGGGCACAAAGCCGGCGCCACCACACGAGCTACAAGGTGTGCTTGAGCGGTCCTAAAGGAGGAAGGGCAAACAATTTGGTTTTGAAAGGCACGTGTCACACAGCCTAATGGTGACGGTGGGCAAACATACCTCAAAGTTCTTGAGCATGCGTGCCAGCTGACCTGTTTCATTGAGGGTCATGATGCGCTCCAAGTCCTGAGATATGGTGACGCATGTGCACAGTGAGGGAAAAAGCCAACGAATGGAGAAATACTTGGAGCAAAGGGAAGCCCCCACGTGCGCTGCGTTGGCTTCAAACCAGCGGGTTGACTTGCGTACACCAGCATGAGAGAAATTAATAAAGGCCTGCGGCACCTTGCCATCATTGCCAGGCAAGCGTTCCTCCAATTCTTGCCCAAACTGTAAGGCCGACGGTGAACGAGGTGAGATGGTGAATGAGTTGAGGCAAACATAGCTTGCAGTGGCGTCTCTGTCAAAAGGGCAGAGACAAACGTACGCGAGCATCAAGCTGCACATCTTTCACTCGGACTTTCTTGTTCAAAGTTTCAAAAATCTGTCCGACCGAGCACACCAGGGCGGGTGAGTGCTGCAACATGCAGGTGACCAATGGTTCGTTCATGTCAACGTACATGCATCATGCGCTTGCAGTCTGAAAAAGTTGATCGAATGCCACTGACGGAGGTAATATACAACACCTAGGTGCAGCCAAACCGGAGCCAGCGTGACAATAGTGAGTTTGGCCAAATAAAATTCGCACATGCCAGGGGGCTACAGGACCGAGACACGGACAATTTGGTTGTGGCGCTCTACGTCATAGAGCTGCTGCAACAGGGCAGACTCAAACTTGGCAGGTTGGGTAAGCGAGTCAAGCGCGGCACGCACTGCGTGGCGTTTGCCACGAATTGTGCCATCCAAGCCCTTCAGCTCACGCCCTAGGTACGGGCAGCATTAAGAAGCAAGCCTTCAGCCGTGAGTCATGCACCGTGCACCGTGCTTTTGGGGGGGGGGGGAGGGGGGGTGGTTGCTGCAAAATACTTGGCTCAACGCACCATCCACAAGACTTCGCAACGCATCCGCCTCGATCTCAGCCCCAGCATGCTCGTCTGCCGCCAGTTGATTCTGGATAAAGGCCCATTCTTGGTCGCGACGCGTTACGCTGCTTGCCTATCAAGCGCAGACAAGACATCAAAGGTTGATCGGTGCCAGTTTGCCAAATAGTGTAACACAGTCCTGTGCGCCACCAACCTCTTGTCGGGGTTCGCCAACGCCAGCCGATACTTGATGCTGTGTTTGCGGCTGGATGCGGAGTGATTGCTGCCAACGCCGTAAAAATGAGAGAAAAATGCAGGTTTAGTTTTTTTTTTTTTAAAAAAAGGCACGCAGTGGCTCAAGAACAGCCCTTACATACCGTGCGCTGAAGCATGCGCTGCTCGTCTTGTTGGCGGGTGTGATTGAAGAAGGAGGCCTTTTCTGCCATCTAGATAACCATCACAAGAGCGACAACAAGCAGTGAAGCTCCAGCGCAATGGCTGGCTCAACGGTGGACTAATTGCACACCTTGTCTCGTTGTTCTCGACGCAGCTGCTCGCGTCGCTCAGCCTCGATTCGCTGCTTCTCTGCTTCGATCTAGAGAGTTGCATCAGTCGTGTATGAAGGCCAAAAGGCAAGATATCAGAGCAGATGGCAGAGGAGGTGCTATTTTGCCCCGCTGCACCAACCTCATCAGGGGTCGGTTCGGTACTTGGTTTCGGGGGCTTCCAACGTTGCCGAGCCTAAATGTAAACGCACGTGAGTGCTATTGGGAGTGGAGGCTGCCGTTTGTAGATGTAGAAAAAAAAAAAAAAAAACAAGCATGGAACAAATAAAAACAAGCCTTAGACCCACATAAGGAGGCAAGTCACCGGCAGCGGGCAGGGTTCCCACAGGCCGGAGGCGCTGTGCCTGCGGGCCTGCAGCTGGCGCTGTTTCCGACACTGCTGGTTCCGGCTCTTCTTCAGGCATATCACGGATGTATTCGGCCTAGTTCGAGTTGCAAACCAATTGGGCGTGTCATGCGATGAGCTGTGATAAACTTGGCTAACGACTGACAACAGTCAGGTGGCCGGGTTGAGAATGTGCCAACTCTCAAGTCAGAGGGGTGGTTGGCAGCGTGAATACCTTGCGTCCAGACACCTCTTGGCTGGCTTGAGCCTCTCCCTTGAGGAAGCGCGAGCGGGCTATGCACAATGAAAACAACGCGCAGGAGGGCGTGGTATAGCATTAATATATCGCTGGGATGGCGTCATGGGTGAGCACGAGGACAGGCCTACCGTCTTGCTTGGTACGGATGGGCACGATGGCAGAGAGAGGCCCCTCTCCCGCATCGGTGATGGCGCAAATTTGAAAGCGATAGATTGTATCTCGCCGCAAGTAAAGAACGCCTAAGAGGTGGTAAAGTGGCCAAGGCAGAGGGAAGGGGGACGGAATTGGTGTTCACGTCTGTGAGCAGCAGAGCGCGTGCTTTCGAAGAGCCAGAAAGAGGATTTGCGGTCGGGCAGCCAAAGCAAACACTCAAATTCACAAAGTTGGGGCAACAGCGTACTGTAGCTTAGGCTCGCTGCCTCGAGTTCGACCTCAACGTAAGCATCTTCACCCGCGCGATCAAAATAGAGGCGATAAGCCTGAACGCTCTCAGGATGCACGGCTGGAGGCTCCCAGACCACGGTGATGGAGTCCATCTGAGTGTCAGCCAAGGACGTGAAAGGGTGGTCAGAGGAAGGGAGTAGGTCTGATTCAGGCATGCATGTACCAGGAGCGGCCTGCACTTTGCTGCGTGTGATCAAGGCACACCCTGCAAGTTCTGCGTACCGTGGTAACGGAGGCGCGAAGGTTCCGAGGCGGTGCTTGAGGCGCTGTGATATACGATGAAGGGACACAGCACTCGATCACATGAGAAGTGAGACGAACAAGCAGGGTACTTCATGCTCATGTCTAATGCGGAAAGAGAACGCACCGCCAGCTTTGGTCGTAGCAGTTATGATGTCACTGAAAGGGCCATCGCCGGCCATGCCAAAGCTCTGGACCTTGAACTCGTAGGTCGTTGAGGGTTCAAGGTCTGTCAAGGTGTATTCATACTCATCCTTGCCCTCCAAAACTCTTTTCCAAGCATTGTTGGCTGCCGCTTGGGGCTTGACATAGAGTCGAAAGGAGTAAGCAATCAAGCCCATGGGCCGCCGCCATGTCACCTAACAAGGAGCGAACCCAGCAAAGCAGCAGTGAGACCAGCACGGGGTGGATCAAGCGGACAGGAAAGAGGGAGCAGTCAAGTGAAGCACCCACCTTGATGGAAGTCGGAGATAGCACTACGGCCTCGACATCGCGTGGTGGCTCCATGGCAGGCATCGTGGGCGATTGGCTCTTGTCTTCAAGAACCCGCGCGTCAGTGCCCACTACTGCCGAATATCGCTGTTGCGCTGCCAAAAAAAAAAAAAAAAAAAAGAAAATCAAACAAATTCAACACAAACGACAACAAGAACTACAACCTCCAAAACTGCCACACAAAGTCACTAGTATAGAAACAAATTTTTCAAGTAAACCTGCAAAAAGTTCAATAATCGCTTCAGTTAGAAGATATGATGACATCACCAGAATCAGTTTTGTTTCTCTGAATGCGGACAAGTGTGTGTGCGTGTGTGCGTGTGTGTGTGTGTGTGTGTGTGTGTGCGAGCGTGAATGGCAGCCCCCATTTGGCTAGAGGAGCGTGCGAGTGCAATGGTGTTTGGAGCATCAAATGCAATAGGGGAGCTCAAGCTGGTCTGGAGCTATTTTGGTTGCGGGAGTCGTCGACTGCGACAGACGAAGAGCAGGGGGGCCGTGCAAGGCGAAGCACAATGACCGAGACTGCTTCGAGCTTGACGGCCGTCGAGGTCGGCGAGCAACTGCGAAGGGCATGCAAACGCACGTTTTTCAAGTGCCGTGATGTGAGCGAAGCGCAGGCAGTTGTATCCGCGGCGCAAGAGGCTGGCATCGCCCCACCAGGTATGCATGCTCAGAACCAGGGATAGACCCGAGGGTCCACCACGACAGAGGAGAGGCCTCCAATCGCTCAGCGCCCTGGCTCTGCATGCCTGACCTCCGCAGACTACATCAATCTGGGCAATGAAAACGGCAAGACGGCTTTGATGTATGCGGCGCAGCTCAGCAGTTCGGAAGACCTGGTTCATTACCTTCTTCAGTTGGGTGCCGACCCTAACCAGAGTACGAAACGCGGCCACACGGCCGTCATGTTTGCTGCAGGTATGTGCAACTCTTTACATCCCCGTCACGGGATTGGATCTATATACCCTAGCTCTGAGGAAGTGCGTTAGCTAATGTCCATTCGTTTGCATACACATTCTTGCTCGTTTACAAATTTGCGCATCAGGCAAAGGTCGTTGGCGCTCGCTACTCCATCTTCTTGACGAGGGCGGCAGTCTTCGTCTAACTGTTGTGACTGGAGATACGCCTTTAGGCCTGGCACGTCTGAAGGTCCGTCGTGCCTAGCTGTGCGCACTGTATTCCTCTTTATCCATTTTTAGCACGCGCGATGGTCTGAAAGACTGACATACCGGGTCACGCAGCTATCAGAAAGTGAAATGACGGAGCTCGAGCATCGGGAGGCAGCTGAAACCCGGGAATGGCGGGATTTTACCAAGGATGATCAGGCCCTGGCTGCTCAATCCACCCACGTAGCAACATGTCGCCACTGTCGTGCCAAGCTCGGCCTCGAGCCACATACAAGTATGGTCACACAGTTGTCTCTGTTCTGTTTGCCAGGCCTGCGCAGCCATGATGCTCTCATTCTCCTGTTAGTGTCCGTACGTCTCAAATTTGGCCTGCTTCCCCCCCCCCCCCTTTTTTTTTTCAGGTGGATCCCAGCGCACGGACGAGGCCGTGCAAGACCTCGAGCCCTTGCCTGTGGATCAAGTGGTGGCCGCTTTGGGCCCTACATGGACGACCAAAGAGGTGGGCTTCGACCAGAACAGCGACCCATCTGCTAGCCAGGTTTGAGGGGTTTTTACTCAAGGACATTATCTGCCGTGTGCCCTAACAAAACAATTGTAGCTTGCCCTAGTCCTGGCCCGAACCATTCATACCTGCTTCACCGGCCCACCAGTGGCACGTCGTCAGTTTTTTGAGCAGCTGCCTCAGCAATTGCTGCTAATCAGTCCATTAGACGAGGTATTTGAGCATGCTCATGAGCGGCCTGAACCAGCCAAACGGGGTTTCTTCTGAAGGTTGATTGCATAATACCTTGCTCCGTCATTTTTTTGCCGGTTAGTCTCGATTAGCCGATGTGGCAGTCGCATGCCAGCGACGCGAGCTGCGACGGCAACTCAATAACCACGGCATCCTCTTCAAGCGGGCCGTGAACATGATCAAGTTTTTGCAACGCTGCTTCAAGGAATTTCTGCGTAACTTTTGTACACGCGTCACAGACTCTAGTGTGCGGCTCCAGTTGTTGGCGCCAGCCACCATAGCCTTGACAGATAGCACTGTGCTTGTGCTGTTGTTGGAGCATGTCCAGGATACGCTGCACACGGTTTCTTTGACTCCCGTTCTGGCTGAGGTGCCATGGGCCGTCATCCTTGATCATGGCCTCTTATCGGCACGCCATATGGCTCGGCGCAACAAGTCTGGCGAGGCAGTTCATACTCTCCAAGTGATGGCTGCCATTGTCGATCATCCCGCAAGCGGGCAGCAGGGGGCCTTGAATGCCGGAACACTCCTCGATACAGCTGAGCAATGCATGAGAGACATGGTTGCTCAGGGCAATTACCCGATGGCAGCTGCCCTAGTGGACAAATGGTCAACATGGTTTTTGCATTCGCCTCCAGTCCAATCGCAGCGCGAGACCGGTCATTTGCAGCACGTTTTCGCCAGCCAAGTTCTCGCCCCCGGCTTGATCACCAACGCGCAGCTGTCCTTGACGCCCGACTCGTCGCTCAGTTTGACAAAGCTTTGCCAGCAGCTTGCATCGCTGGCCACGTCAACAGAGGCGGTGTCGGACGAACTCGCTGAAAAGACTGAGCAAATCACCAACACCGCGAGCCTCGGGACTTTATCTTTAACCCAAGCCAAAGATCGGTCTGCCTTGCTGCACAGCTTGACCCGTGCCAATCCCGTTTCGCTGCTCAAAATATTTGAACAGTGGGGTTACGAATTCTCCACCGACGAGGCATTGGCCGTCGAAACACTAATTTGTGCTCGAACCATCCAGACTCGGGGCGCTTTGGAGGCAGCTGAGTATGCAGCCACCACGCCACACCTACTCAGCTTCCTGGAAGTGCTGGGGGTTCCACCTCTGGCCGACCTTTTGCGTGCCGGGGTTGCTGGCATCGACAACCGACTTTGCTTGCCGAAGTCGACCACGATCCATTTTGTTGGCACGCAATCCGGTGAGTCCACACATCGGGCGAGTATTGCAGGCCTTGCTGCTGTCTCCTTGACTTGGAACATGTTTGTTTGAACAGCGATGCAAGATGCTCGCCAGCGCATGGAGCAACTCCTGACCTCCCCTCGACTCGTGGGCATTGATACTGAGTGGTACGGATTATGGCATTTCAGCTTTTCTTCTTTTGCGCCGAGCTTCTTTTTCGTGTCGTCGCTCATCTTGATGTCGTCATGCATTCTGATTGCGGATTGTAGGCGATCACCCCGCCCCACTTGCTCACTCATTCAAGTAGCCATGGGTGATGACGTGTTTCTTCTGGATGCTGTACCAGGGATGGGGGATGCTGCTTATGCATACGAGGTCGGTGGGGCGAGTAGCAAATGCGAATGTGCCACGTCGTTCATGGTATCTGATGCCTTGTTCCCATTGTTTTGTCATAGCTGGGACAGCTGCTGGCATTTGTGCTGAGTCGTGGCGCACCACACACGCTTCTCGGCTTCTCCTTCGGGGAAGATACCAGGCATTTGCAGCGGATGTTGCCCGCACATGCATCGCCGGTGCAGGTCGTGGACGTGCAGCCCTTGGCCCAGAGCTGGCTGCAGCGCAAAAAGCGCCCTGGGTTGGGCACGGTGGTCGCGGCTGTTCTTGGACAAACCCTTGACAAGCGCAATCAATGCTCCAATTGGGATCGGCGGCCATTGCGACCGGATCAAGCCGAGTATGCTGCGATCGATGCTTGGTGTCTAGCTCCGTTGTACGAACAACTTGTTTCTTCGCCCTCGGTCGCAAGTCGTAATGTCGGCATAGTTGCCGACCACGGTGAAGATCAAGACGAAGAAGATGAAGAAGAAGATGGTCGTCATTAGCTCAGGCGAGCAGCAGCGAAAAAAAAAAATAGAAAAAAAAAAAAAAGAAAAAAAGGGGAAAGTTTCCACGAATCATCAAGGCAGAATTGATGGATGGCTTTTTTCTGGTTGAGACTCTGAAATTAAATTTTAATCCCAGCAGCTGGGGGACGCGTAGTACGGCAGGCAATCGCAGTCAAGGCTGCATAGAACAAACCAGACACATAGTGCACAGACAAGAGCAAGCAAAACCATGTGATGTTGCTTGTACCCTCCAAACCATGCTCTTCTAAACCAGACTTAAATCCAGGTTGTTTCGCTTGTGGGCTGCGGTAGAGTTTGATCCAATATTTTGCGAATGGCCAGAATTCGTTCTTCGTTCCACCCGTGGTCGCTGAATGGACAACAGCACAATGCCTGGCATGACAACAGATACACAATCGTTCGTTAGCAAAGCGAAGGGAAAGGCGTGGTAATGCGTGCAAGATAACAAACAATTAGCTTGTGGTCAGATAAAAAAAAAGCACAAAAATCTTGTGGTCAGGCACCGCAACAATAAGACGAAACAACGAGGGATGTAATCTACTTGAACGCTGCTTTATGCAGGCGACTTGCCATGTTGAGTAAGCAGGAGCCTGGGCAGCTGGCTGGGCAACAGCCAGTTGAGTTTGAAAACACCTGATTTTGCAGCACACAGGTTGCAATGAGAAACATTGATGGAGTTTCCTGTCGCAGTGTCAAGCACCAATTTTCATGCTTTCGAAGACGGGGTGCGACGATACAGACCTCGATCGAGGTTCCCGGCAGCTCCACCGCGCCAGCCAGTCGAACAGTGCTGTTAAGATCAACTTGATGTGAGAGTCTAGCGGGCAGCGGCCATCGAAATGAGAGGGCTTCTTACGTATGAAAGAGCCGAAACTCAATGACGTCGATCCAATCTGCTTGAGTGTACGCTTGCAGTTGTAGCCTTTGCCTCTTGGGATCCAACTGTGAAGGTGGTTTCACCAGTCAAGTCAGATTAGAGACGGCACGACTTGCCCTCCATCACGTTGGGAATGGCGGCTGAAACGGCCACACTTTCAGCCGTACCTTTGAAAGCACAAAAACTTCTCCATTGTCATGGTCAGATCGCTCTGAATAGCAACGCCAAGCACCCACGAGTAACCGCAGCATCTGGTCTGGGCCAATGTTGCGATATTCCCAGCTGGTCCACGGCCAGATAATAATATCGTTGATCCCCAGAAGCAATGTACATCAAACAAAAGTTTCCAAGCGCAAGCACGCGATCAGGTCAAAGCGAGGCAGAGTAACACTCGGTCCCGTGTCTTTTTGGGCACGGGGCTCATGCGCAGAGAACGTACGTCTCTCTAACTTGGTGATTTTTCGCCACACAGCTGAGCCAGGCTCCTGGGTTGCACCAGGTGTGGTAGGGCGCTTGGCACTTGGCCAGTTTTGAGATGTGGTGCGGTGCACAGCAGCTTGAGGATGGAGCAGACGCCAGAGTTAGCAGTCTTGGTTGAAAGACGACAACTGGCAAGGCGCCCGCAACCGAGGGGCGCGTCGAGGGCATGTTGGAGGCCGTGTCGATACGCGATTCGGTCACGGTACTGCCATCAAGAAGAAGCTGGTCTGTATTGGTGCTTTCTTGCAGAATACCAAGTTCTTCGCTATTTTCATCTTCCTGACGCTCAAAAACTGGGTTGAGCCGTTTGACGCGATGCGAGGTCACAATGGCGGAATCTTCCGACGAGGAGCTGGCAATGTGAAGACCAAAGTTGGCATCTTCTTGCATTTGTGTGCGGCTCTACCTCATTGCAGAGGCGTCGGGAAAGAGTGGGCGATTAGCAAGCGGGTGACAGATTGTTCATCCCAGCGTTTAAATTTTGAATCTCTCATGATCGGCTCGCAATGCGAGGCCACCAACCTTGGCTTGAACAGCGCTCTGCTCAGGGCTAGGCTGTGGCCAAAACCTGCGCCAGATGCCATGACACATTGAGCTTGAATGGGCATGTGCGCACAAGAGGTCAAGGGCACCCATGAACTGCTCCATGCTTCGGCCATGATCTAACTTACTTGCCGAACTGGGCGTCCCAGATGCTGCCACTCCCTCGACCCAGCTGCCGACCCTGTCCTGCCATTCTCTTGGTTACTCAAATGCTTGAAAAACCAAAAAGCACGCCCATTCTTCATGCATGCAAAGCAACCCTCAATTGTCAGATAAAACTTCTGAACCAAAACCGTTACAAAACGAAGAGAGAGAGAGAGAGAGTCGTGTGTGTGCGTGTGTGTGTGTGTGGTTCCTTATATTTGACACGACCAACTCGAAGGGTGGAACCGGCGTCATGGCTATGAATCGAGGCTTGCTGATTGTATTGGAGGGGTGTGATCGCTGCGGCAAGAGGTGGGTCATGGCTGGGTCAGTTGTGTTGTTGCTTTTCTGGCAACGCGCGTCGCATTCATGTGGCAGCGAGAATCACATAGCACGCAATGTGGACGGCTCGTGGAATGGCTCAAGAACCATCGTCCCAATGGCGCAGAAAGCATGCGCTTTCCTGGTGAGTAGTCCCGCTAGAGCAGGTCCATGGTGACCTATACCAGAAGTCAAACTTACTCACGCGACCGGCGGTGCGCGCGCATCCTTATACTAGATCGCACCACGCAGATTGGTTCCCTGATCAATCAGTATCTGCGGAAGGAGATTGAGCTTCCCGACAAGGCCGCACACCTGCTCTTCTCTGCCAACCGATGGGAGCTGCGGTTTGTTGAGTTCTTGTGCACCGTCCAGTGCCCGTCGTGTACACGTCTTTCCTCTATCCCTTGATCTGACGAACGTGCAAGACACTTGCTTATGCTCATGTCCATTTACACACGCTCGCAGCGATGAGATTGAACGTAAACTCGCAAATGGAGTGTCGCTGGTGGTGGATCGCTATGCCTTCTCTGGCGTTGCCTTTACCAGTGCTAAGGTATCAAGTCAGAGTCCCCGGAGCAGGCCGCCACATTTTCTCTCAATATTCTGTTGCCTCAACCTTCGTCCACTTGATTGCCCTCTTGGTTCACATAGGGTCTAGACGTGGAGTGGTGCAAGCAGCCAGATGCTGGACTGCCCGTGCCAGATGTTCTGATTCACATGGAACTCAGCCAGAGCGAGGCAGAGTCTCGAGGCGGCTTTGGCGAGGAGCGCTATGAAGTTTCAGAGTTTCAGGCCAAGGTGAAAGAGCAGGTGAGTCTAGTCTGCCCAAGGCGTCAAAGCTAAAGCTGTCAATCAAGCGGGCTACCCTCATGTCATTTGCTTGTTTTGCAGTTCAAGACGTTGTACGAGAGCTTAACAACAAACTGCAAACCCATTATCCTTGACGTGAGCAACCAAACGATTGAGGAGGTTGAGGCTCGCATTCAAGCCATTGTTAAAGAAGTAGAAGCATCCGCTTCGCGACCTAGCAGCCATGCTACCTTGTGGTAGTTGCTGCCGAGCCGAACCAACACAGCTCCCTGAACTTGCCCCTGGTGATTCAATCTCACAAAAGGCATTTGGCAAAGACGATGCACATCACTTAACCAGATATTTGAAAAATCAATCAACTCGATTAGTGGCTTTTCAGATGCAAGCAAAGCCACAGGCTCAACGAGAAACAAAGAACACAAACGAAAATCAATTCATGCGACGAAAGCTTCAAAAACTATGATCTAAGCACTGCCGGCCTTGTCCTCCTCCTCCTTGAGAAGCTTGATGCCCGTGTACAGTGCCGTGATAATCTGAGCCTCCGTGATGCAGAAGCGTGCACTCGGCGAAATGTCGCACACACCACCCTCGCCAATCGGCGTGTGCTCGCCGCCAATGCCACGCACCGACAGGCCCAGCGGGCGGCACACCTCCTTGGCCTTTGCATCCGTGCCATCCGCCGTCAGGTTGGGCAGGCCAATGTGCACGCTCGCGCGCATGCCCGTGCCCAGGTTGGTCGGGCAGCTCGTCACCACACCGTAGTCGGGCGACATGGCAAAGGACAGGCCCTCAATGCCGTTGACCACGTCCAGCGCCGTCTTCAAGCGGTCAAACACCTCGTTCAGCACCGTGCCCTTGCGCATGCACATGATACGCAGGTGGTCTTCCTCACCCACCCAGATGATAAAGCCACGGTCCTCCGACACGTAGCAGCCACGGCCATAGGGCCAGTCGGCCGCAATACCAGCCGACGCCAGGTACGGGTCCGCCGCCATGTCCTTGAACATGATGTGGTCCTTGACTAACTGCTGGTACGCCTCCTCGCTGATGTGGTCCGGGTGATCGGGCGTCAGCGAGTTGTAGCCGCCGCCGTACTCGGGCATGGCCTTGAGCTTGTCAAAGGCCTCGCACATCTTCTTCTCCAGGTTGACACGGTCATCCTTGGTCATGGCACCCGGCAGCGGGAAGTCGGCCAGGTTGCGACCCACCCGCACGCGCATCGACAGCGCCGGCAGACCCAGGGCAGCCAGGTCCAGGCGGCCGTCCGCGGGCAGACCCTCGACACCCGACAGGTCCCAGTTGTTGGTGTGCTTGGCGTCCTCGCCCACCTTGTGGTAGTCGGCCAGGACCTTGCTAAAGAAGGGCTTGAAGCGGTCGTAATCGGCCGGCTGCATGGCGTAGCAGCCCATGCCCGAGTCGCCGTTGTCGATACCGCTCTGGCAGCACTTGATCAGGGCCTTCTTGTCGTCATCGCTCAACGTGTTGTAGTAGTCGACATCAAAGTGCTTGGCCATGCGGTTACCCGGGTGCGCCGCCTTGACGGCTGCAATCTTCTCCACGACATCATCGGCAGGCGACTCGGCAGCAGGGGCCTCGGCAGCAGGGGCCTCGGCAGCAGCTGGGGCACTGCCGGCCTTGTCCTCCTCCTCCTTGAGAAGCTTGATGCCCGTGTACAGTGCCGTGATAATCTGAGCCTCCGTGATGCAGAAGCGTGCACTCGGCGAAATGTCGCACACACCACCCTCGCCAATCGGCGTGTGCTCGCCGCCAATGCCACGCACCGACAGGCCCAGCGGGCGGCACACCTCCTTGGCCTTTGCATCCGTGCCATCCGCCGTCAGGTTGGGCAGGCCAATGTGCACGCTCGCGCGCATGCCCGTGCCCAGGTTGGTCGGGCAGCTCGTCACCACACCGTAGTCGGGCGACATGGCAAAGGACAGGCCCTCAATGCCGTTGACCACGTCCAGCGCCGTCTTCAAGCGGTCAAACACCTCGTTCAGCACCGTGCCCTTGCGCATGCACATGATACGCAGGTGGTCTTCCTCACCCACCCAGATGATAAAGCCACGGTCCTCCGACACGTAGCAGCCACGGCCATAGGGCCAGTCGGCCGCAATACCAGCCGACGCCAGGTACGGGTCCGCCGCCATGTCCTTGAACATGATGTGGTCCTTGACTAACTGCTGGTACGCCTCCTCGCTGATGTGGTCCGGGTGATCGGGCGTCAGCGAGTTGTAGCCGCCGCCGTACTCGGGCATGGCCTTGAGCTTGTCAAAGGCCTCGCACATCTTCTTCTCCAGGTTGACACGGTCATCCTTGGTCATGGCACCCGGCAGCGGGAAGTCGGCCAGGTTGCGACCCACCCGCACGCGCATCGACAGCGCCGGCAGACCCAGGGCAGCCAGGTCCAGGCGGCCGTCCGCGGGCAGACCCTCGACACCCGACAGGTCCCAGTTGTTGGTGTGCTTGGCGTCCTCGCCCACCTTGTGGTAGTCGGCCAGGACCTTGCTAAAGAAGGGCTTGAAGCGGTCGTAATCGGCCGGCTGCATGGCGTAGCAGCCCATGCCCGAGTCGCCGTTGTCGATACCGCTCTGGCAGCACTTGATCAGGGCCTTCTTGTCGTCGTCGCTCAACGAGAGGTAATAGTCAACGTCAAAGTGCTTGGCCATGCGGTTTCCTGGGTGGCTCTCCCGCACCTCGAGGATCTTACGCACGGTGGGATCATCGGGCAATGGGGCGCTTGACTGCTTGACCGCAGCCGCAGTGCCTGCCTGGGCTGTCTTGGAGGGGACACATCCACCCATCTTGTTGCTGGTCGAGTTAAAGTAGGTTCTTCGCTTAACAAACAGGCACTTCTGTGGCAATGGCAGCGCACCGAGGCATGGTTGAGTCATCAGGGACTCGACATTATCTCATCGTCTGGAGCCAGACATGCAAAGCGATGGCATGCCTTGTTGCCAAGGGTGGGTTAGAATTGGCGAGGCACGAACCTGGTTGGCTCGCCTGGTACCGCTGGCACGGAAAGCCTCTCAGTTTAGGTTGAAGAAAACGTGGCCAGTACCTGGGTAGAGTGGAGGGGTGTGAAATGAAGGTGCACAGAATGGCAGCGGGCTACTCTCAAAACGTAGTCAAAGTCCTACTTTGACTCACCTTTAAAGAAGTCGGTTGTTCGTTCAGCTCAGTTGGTTCAGTCAGTCACGGTCAACGCGCTTCGTAGCGGAGGCAGTCACACAGCGCACAGGAAAGGGAGGACGGGTCAAATGCAAATGACAGTCAGCCAGTCAGTCAGTCGTCAGCTGTCAGTGAGCGCCCGCCTTGCTTACAAGGGTATGTTGTAAGCCATTCTCGTAACGTTCTTATGGTGAGGGAGTGGGAGGAGCTGGCTTGGAGATGTGCTTGGGAGCTGGCGTTTGCGGGTCGCTGGTGCTGCTTGCGTGTAGAGCATCATTCCATTTGATCCTGATCACAGCCCGGCGAGCGGCAGCGGGCTTGAGGGCACCCGCTGCCCTTCTCTCCCTTTGAAGAACGGACGTTGCCAAGGGGTTCTGAGTTGGAAGTTTTGTATCAATGGCGACGTATTTTTACGTGCTGAATAATAACATACACAAAGCAACTCCCTCAAAGCTATTTTCTGACAATTCAAACTGCGGACAGCGGGCCAAGCACAGGAGCAGACACTGCGTCATGGCCAAGGCGCAGCCTGCCGCTCAGGCTGCGCTGGGAGAAGAGGCAGATCCGGCGGCATTGACCTTTTATGAGATTCTCGGTTGCTCTTCCTCCTCCAATGTATGTCAATGAGAGGTGCCTGTGCCGCTTGAGGAGTCAAAGGGGCCGTGCAACTGGACCGGAGACAGAAACGGCATGACCTTTATTGCGTTTGTTTTCGCAGGCCGAGCAGATCCGGACGGAGTTTCGCCTGCTGTCCAAGCAGCATCACCCAGACCGTCAAGAGCTGGTATCACCCAGCAAGCGTTCTCGTAGGGATATGGCCGTAATTAACCGTGCGTATGAAGTCCTCAGCGATCCCAAGACGCGTGAACATTATGATCTCTGGCTGGAACTCGAACGCCCCACCACTTTTGCCAACTTTTGCAAACGTTTCAACCCCGGCGAGGTATGCCTTCGAAAAGCGATATTGCGGTGGCGGTGCCGTTGACACGAGGACCAAGGCCCTCAAACAAGTTGTCTTTGGCCCTTGTACTGATGCTTCTTGTTCCCCCACCCTCTCCTTTTGTTTTGTTTCTTGTGCCTTGTGCCTGCAGTGTCGGCATTTTGCACCAGTGCAAACGACAGCGAGATTGCAGGGCGGTTCAACAGGGCAGCCCGTGTCCGCGACAGCAAGAGGGGAGGAATCATCTTCTGGCATTGACCGCCCAGGCTGGTCTTCACGCCCCAGCACCGACAACCCGGCACTAGCAGCCTTCCGACAGCAGAGGCGCTGAGCGTCTTTGGCCACGCTACATGCGTGCACCCTTCCTGCGCACAGTTGTGCACATTGCTGGAATTGATTTGCTTGTGTATACAGAGGAAAATGCCAATGTTGTGACGCCTGATTCTGTACGTGGCCTTAGGGCAATGGCCGTGAGTGTTACAAGAGCACGCTCAATTCGAAGTCTGCACAAGACATGCACACACGCATGATGATCTGTTGTCGCAGTCATCGGCACCGCCGGGACCAATCAAACATGTACATGTGAGGACCACCAAGCAGGACCACCAAGCAAATTGTCGCATCGAAAAGGAGGTGATCTTGGCTCACTCCAAAGGGGCCTGCAAAGCGCGCTTCACATGTGCTCACACCAACAGAAAACTAACGCCGGGGAATTGGGGTTGGGCTCGTCAAGGAGGGATTGGATGGAGGTCAAGATGCCAGATACATTGAACGTCGGGGACCACTTGGAAGCAAGGATATCCAGACAAATGGAGCCATCAGCATATACTAACAGTCGGGCGCAGTTGGCGCACGGGTGAGGGTGCAGGTGAATCGAGGTCACACACTTCCGGAGCGCTGGTAAATGAGCGGGGACAAACAAGAAAGCGAATGACCTACCATTGGGATGAAACAGCTGCGAGACGAAGCGAACTTTGGGGGCCTTATTGGGGTAGTCCTCGCTGAGACAAACATGGAAGGGGTGAGTTTGAGCCGTGGTCCATTTCGCCAAGTTGACGCGACAACAAACCTAAACTCCAGGACGAGCTTGAAGGCGCCGTCCTCAAACGGCGTGTCGCGAGGTCTACACCAAAGCCAAGACACACGGGTGAGCAATCCCTGCGGGCCGAGGTAGGTTGGAGCGCAGCCTGCGTGGGACTGTGATGCCTGGACGCGACATCGCACCCAAAAATGACGGCGTGCCAGACAAAGATGTTGTCACCAACAGGAGCACCAGCAATGCCCTCTGGAGGATCCTGTGTCAGGTTCTTAAAGTCTTTTAAGAGACGCTTGCGAGCTGGGGTCGTCATGATGAGATGTGGACGAGCACACAATCTGCGTCAAGCAAAATGTGCACGTCGTGGTCAGGCCGGTCGAAAGGGGTCTGACGAACAACAATATCAACCCGAGTCTAATGGCGGGAAATTGCAGGTCGGTGAGATGGCACGAGGTGCTTTTTTTTTGAAAAAAACATTGGGCATGAGCAAGCCATGTGCAGAGTCGTCGTCGCCACATGTGTGGTCTGCTGGCGGGCAGAAGGTCTGAGCTTGTCAGAAGAGCACCCGACCAGGACAAGGCGTTCAACAGAAACGATCAACGAGGTGAATATCCCTGCCGCCGCCCCCTGACTGGGACCACAAACAGCCTCGTAGTCAAGGCTACCACCACGAGGGCCAGTCCCACTATCAATGCCAAGCATGAGGCCTACCAAAGCAGAGCCAGTTCCCACGCACGCACGCACGCACGTTTGGCAGCCCAGAGGCGGTGCCGCTGTCGCTGCCGGCAGTCAGTTCGTTCAAGGCCTTTGGTCGCAGTTGATGTGTGATCAACGGCTACACTTCAAACTGTCAGACAAAAACGCATGAAATTGTCAGACAAACACTTCAAATTGTCAGACAAACACTTCAAATTGTCAGATAAAATATGGCTAACTTCTTCTGGATGATGTATTGTCAGACGATTCTCGCGCATACGTTTTCCAGCAGGCAGCGGGCCGGGCTTGGTGGGGATTTATGGAAGACAGTCATGGACTTTATGTAGATATGTACTGAAGTGTAGTGTTGGAACCTGTGGAGACTTAGAGGCTTTATGTAGTTTTCTAATTGTAAGTTGGTCTGAGGAGTTGTGGCTTGAATGAGCTCATGATGGATGGCGTTGCCTGGGTTTTGTTGTGCAGGTGGGCGCGCGGCATCGGGTACACACGCGCTAAAATACTGCTGGCTGTACTTCAACGTGATTGCCTATCATCATGGACTCGCTCAAGTCTTGGTATAAGAGGAAGAAAGCCGATCATCGCTTCAAAAAGGCCGGACCAGGTCAGCAACGCATCCGTTCAGACAAGGCCGCATTGGCGGCAGCTGGCCGCGTGTGGCGTTGTTAGGATATACTCCTTTGATCCTCAAGAGGATTTGACCAAAGTCCTGCGCTCGAGTGAGATCACGGTGTTGCATTGATCTCCAATTTGCCATCTCTAGGGCAGTCACTCAGTCATGCAGTTTCCGATGGTGCCCCGCCCGCCACTGGCGCAGCCGTGAGTCGTGTCCCATCTTGCCAGCCCTTCTTCGGGGTTAGCTTCTGACGCCGACCATTGCCCTGTCTAGGTGGCGCCGTCAGCTGCGGCCAGACGGCAACCCAATCGTTGTGCGTTGCAGGTTCTTGCTGGTCTCATTTGTGGTTTTGGCACTCACCTGCGGCCCGGCCTTCGACACTAACATGATTTTGATGCGTCGCACCACCCGACCTGCCCACAGCCGAATTGAGCCCAGCTGCGCAGGCGGCTTTGGACCGCATTGAGGCGCGGGGACAGCGGGGCAAGCCCAGCGCCGAGGCTCGGCGTCAGCAAGAGGCAAATGCACTTCTTGCTGACATGGGGCTCTCTGCATCACAGCAAGCGGCGGCTGAGGCAGCTGCTCAGCAAGCCAGCTCGTCGCCCACCCCTCCTACATCACACCTGGCTGTCCGTGTTGAGTGTCCTCTCACCGGGCAAATCATCCGTGAGATGGATGTCACGGAACATCTCACTTTGCAGTTGCTGGAGCTATACGACATATCACCCTTGGACGCGTCGGCCAAGATGATTCACTCGTTGTGCCCTGACCCTGCTGTCCGCGATACTTGCGTGACTACCATTTGCAAGTGGGTGCCGTATCGAGTTAGATTGAGCTTAGTGCACGCCAAAGCTGGATTTTCGATTTCTGACCGACGGTGCCAAATTGGGGATTGGCATCAACTCCATTGGCTGCATGCAGGTACTTGCAAAACGCCATCGACCATCCCGGTGACGAAAAGTTTCGCAAGATTCGCCAAGGGAACAAGGTCTTTCAGGTTGGCACGGGCAGCTTCGTTGGTCCCTCGTAATCAACTGGAGTGATGCGTTGGTTTTGACTGGTGTTTTTTTTTTTTTTTTTTTTTTTTTTTTTTTTTTTTTTTGTGAATAATAAACTGACAGGAGCGCGTCGACAGCGTCCTGGGCGGCAAGGACTTCCTTGTGGCGACCGGCTTCCAGGAGACCACTTTAGGTGAGCGACAGATGGTGTTTGGGGCTGCTGTTTTTTTTGCACTTCAGGCTCACCCCCATCTCGCCTCATCCCCACGTCGCGCCACGACAGAGGACGAAAGCTATCTCGTTTTGCCCGATGGCGTGGACGAGGCCTTCCTTGAAGCAGCGCAGGCACTGATTTCTTCCAACCAACGAGTCGAGTTTCCATTGTATCGTGACCCGCAAGTCTTGCGAGTGGGAGACGGGGCATCCATTGCCTTGCGCACGGAGCTGCCCCCAGACTTTTATGCCATCACCCTCGAGGATGTCAAGTATGTCACAAAAACGTGTTTCTGGACACGACTACAAGCTGGCGAGTGGGCGAATCTGTTGCCTCTCATCGGCGAATGGGTGCCCTAGACTGCAACACAAGCTCAACGCTGCCAAGATGGACGAAATGCTTTCTCTCCGAACAAAGGCACGGCCCGGCGCACCCTATGCTCGTGCCAGACACCCCCAGTGTGTGGCCTCGTGAACTGACAGCAGGTGGAATGACATTGCTGTAGGCTATGCGTGAAGCACAGGCGGATAAACGCAAGCGAATTTATCGGTACCACACGCAACTCTTTTGCCATTTTGACCCCAGTCTGAAGAACATAAAGCTGTCAAGTCTCTCTCATTGCCGTGCCTTCTTTTGTAGATTCTGCCTGCTGCGTGTGCGCATCAATGCCGATTATGTGCTGCAAGGCACCTTCCGTGTCACAGATACACTGCAAGCCTTGTATCAATTCGTGAGTGAGGCCTTGGCCGATGAGACCGTCGAATTTGAGCTTCAGACGCAGCACAACCGCCAGCGCCTGCCTCGTGACAGTACAACCATGCGCAAGGCCGATCTGGTACCTACTGCCAGCATGGCTCTGATCGCGCCAACCCCTGTTGATCTCAAAGACACCTTCAAAGCCATGGCCCAGCGCGTCAACTAGCGGTCTGGCTGTGCGACTGCGATTGAAAACAACGCTGGTTTGATGTGCCTCGCATGCCTTGATGCGACACTGCGCTGACATTGTGATTTGCATAAATTGACCTGTTCATTATAAAAAAAAACAAAAGAAAAAAAAAAATAAAACATGCTGTACAAACAACACAAATCACGCACAAACGCCAACGCAGGTTGGGGACAAGTCATCCAGTTCGGGCAACAGACTCTCAGCCCAGGAATTCCTTATGGCCTTCAATGATCTCGTCGACTACTTTGGGTTCAGCCAGAGTAGAAAGATCTCCCAACTCGTTCAGCTACGGGAAGCAAAAAGAGGTGAGGCTCGAACTGTCAAATTCTTGAGCGTCTGGGTGAATGTTGGCAAACAAGGGCGCACAGACCTGATTGCTGGCAATTTTGCGCAAGATGCGACGCATGATCTTGCCCGAACGCGTCTTTGGCAAGTCCTTGACCAACTACCGGCAGTCAAATCACCAATGGTAACATGTGAGAAATAAACAAAGACGAAAAAGGACTGAATCATTGTTGTCTTTTTAAAGAAGTTTAAATGCCAGCGCACCTGCACGCGATCAGGACTGGCAAAGGCGCCAATGTGGTGGCGCACAACCTCCTTGAGCTCCTTGGCTGTGTTGCCCGTCGGCTCAAAATCGGCACGCAAAATCACGTAGGCACAAATTCCTTCACCCTTGACATCGTGTGGATAGCCCACGACGGCCGACTCAGCGACGCCCTTGTGTAGCAGGAGCGAGCTCTCAACCTCGGCAGTACCGAGGCGGTGACCACTGACATTGATCACGTCGTCCACGCGGCCTGTGATGTGATAATGGCCTTCAGAATCGCGCTTTGCTCCATCGCCCGTAAAGTAGTAGCCGGGAAAGTGCGACCAATAGGTTTCACAAAATCGTTTGTGGTTTCCAAAGACTGTCCGGGCCATTCCTGGCGTGGGATCTCGAAGGCATAGAAGACCTTCGACGTCGTTGCCTTTGATTTCTTGACCATCGGTGCCTAGCAAGAGGGGCACCACGCCAACGGCTGGGTGCATGGCGGCACCCGGCTTATGACCTTCCTTGCTTGCCAACGGTGAGGGGCACATCATGATGCCACCAGTCTCCGTTTGCCACCAGGTGTCGGCAATTCGGCACTGTTTGTTGCCAACCACATCGTGAAACCAGCGCCACACCTCTGGGTTGATGGGCTCACCGACTGAGAAGACCAAGCCATCAGCAGCCGTGAGCTTGAATCAAGGAGGGCAGTGGCAAAAAAGCCGTGCTGACAGTGCGAGACAAAACACACAGACGCCAGGAGCACATGAGCAACATGTCAGGCATACGCACCCGAACCCAGGACGCGCAACGAAGAGCGGTCATGCTTCTGCACAAAGTCGTCGCCTAAGCGCACGCACGGCATACCATGAATATCACAGGGGAATAAAAAATCCAGAGCTCTACGCGGGAAAGCCTCGAATCAACCAAGAGCTGTACCTTGCTTCATTAAAAGGCGTAGCGCGGTTGGGGCCGTGTACAACTGATTAATGCGCAGTCGCTCAACCATCTAGCCGCACGCAGGCGAGGCCCGGGTCAGCTCGGGGCGTGGCATGGCAGCCAGCGTGCCGGTAAGGACAGCGCTTACCTCCCAATATCGGCTTGCATCTGGGTAAGTCGGCACGCTCTCGAAAATGACTGTGGTAGCGCCATTGACGAGAGGGCCGTAGACCACGTAGGTATGGCCAGTGATCCAGCCGACGTCGGCCAAGCATGCATAGATATCTCCCGGTTTGTAGTCGAAAAAGTGCTGCAGCACGAGATGGACAATGAATGCCAGTGCGAGGCAAACGCTTCAACTTGGCACCCAAGCAACGAGCCAAGGTACCCGACCGACTTGGCTCCCACCTCATGAGTATAGCCGGCGTAGAGGAGGTAGCCACCCGAAGTGTGCAAAAGTCCCTTGGGTGCTCCTGTGCTACCCGAGGTGTAAAGGAGGAAGAGGCCATCCTCGGCGTCCACTGTGGCCGACTCGGCAACGGGTGAAGCAGCTGCCATGGCTTCGTACAACTTGATGTCATCTTTTTGTAAGGCATGGGCGTTTCCTGCAAGTTGAATGATCAGCATGGCAATTGGCAAGTGTGAGGCGTGGCATGCGGGCTAGCAAAGCTTCTTGTGGGATTGAAAGCAACAACGTTGACCGAGAAGGATGAACACGCCTGGGGCGGGGTCTTACCGGTGCGCTCTTGAACAAGGACTGCTCGTACTTGACCCGGGATTTGAGCGAGAGCATCGTTGGCAATTTGACGCAGAGGAATTTTCTGCATGCGTTGATGTATCACACAAGGAGAGAGCGGCAATTTATGAGCAGACATGGCAAGCTAGTTGGCGCCAAGCTAAAGACGAGCGTGTGGCGGCTGTTCAATACAAGCAAGCGTCATTGTAAATCAATCCATTAGGAAAGAAATCCTCGCCATGTCTCACCTTGCCACCACGAACACTTTCGTCGGCAGTGATCAAGACACGGCAATCACCGTCAGAGATGCGGGCAGCAAGCGCGTCCTCGCTAAAGCCCGCAAAGACAAGAGTGTGGATGGCACCGATGCGTGCACATGCTAGCATGGCATACACTGCGTAGGGGGTCATAGGGAGGTAGAGGCAGACGCGGTCGCCCTGGGAAATAAGGAAGAGTGGCACAGAGTGCTGGATGAGACGGGCAGGTGGGCAGTTTCGCTGAGGCAAGCCGGGTTCTGTGGCCAGGAGTGCGGCGAAGCGCTGATGTGCAGACCTGCTTGACGCCCTGCTGCAGGAGAACGTTGGCGAGACGGTTGACTTGTTCTTGAAGCTCCTTGTAAGTAATCTGGTCGGGCAGATTAAGGGCCAAGCAGCAGGTGATGAACTGAGGCGGGGGGGGGGGGGGGGCCCCGAAAAACCAAAAAAATCCGGGGAACCCCCCGC